TATACGAGTAAATGATGTACGAGAGTATCGGATTCTCCACAATAGTCACAACTCTGCGTGTCTATGACTCGTCTGACGTGCAAAAAGCGTTTAGTTGGCAAATATCTGTGCAACACCTGAAACTGAAAGGACTGAAGTTGGGTGGAAGCGCAACACGTGTATGGAATCTTAAGGTATGTGGCCCAAGCTTCTGGGGCTAGATGCTCGGCTTCCCACTTTATTAGAGACTTTGGTTTTTGACTTGTCAAACCTAAAAGATATAACTCTTTTGTGCTTAAATTTACGATCCGCTTTACTTTTGATCCTATCCGGCAGCAAATAGCAGCCCCTCTCATCTGTCCTACATCAAGAAAGTCTCCAGATCGCCGTAAATATAACTTCCAATCAGAAGGGATAGCTCTTATTAATCCTTGATACAGAAGGCTGTTCACTCTAAAGTTGTATTTCTCGCAAAATTCCGCGTATGTCATTAACTGTCCCTGGGTTGTAAGCAAGTCGTTAATGAATATTATTCCTTTCTGATACATTCGAGGGAAGAACACAGGACTGTTATCTATCAATATTTTTTCATTATACCACAAAATCTCTTCTCGAACTGTTTCGTTAGAAGCGGGGCAGGGTTTGTGGAACAACTTCTTGAATTTCCGGAGCAAATCTTTGTGAAAGTCGCTGAGTCTACATCTTTCCAAGACCTGTTCATTGAATCTAGTTCTCAAAAAAGTGTTGACCGTAAACGGGCCAATGCGAGATCGGAATATATCACCAGATCTCGATTCATGTCCCAGTAAGCGCACCGCCCAACTTAATCTAAGCGCGTTGTGTAAACTATGCACTGATGTTGCACCCAGTCCACCTTCTTCCACCGTTTGGTAGAGCACATCTCGAGAGACTTTCGGCGGACGGCCGCGCCAGATGAATTTCATGATGAGGCTCTGAATCCTGCACAATGTCTGTTGCGGAATTACCAAAGATGCCAACACATAGTTCAGTTTTGATACCGCAAGGCTCTTGGCAACGGTTATTCTCCCTTTTATGCTCAAATGCCTTTCAGACCACATATTTAGCACTACCCTTATGCTATTCAATATAGGTTCGAGATTGTCATCTAAGCACTGCCGGCTCGCGGAAAACCAGACACCTAAAATCTTAATACTCTCTGATGGCACTATACCACACACTGGCTGCGTCAAATCCTGACAAGGTCCAAGACGCATAATTTTAGTCTTGTTTAGGTTCAATTCTAACCCAGAAACTTCCGAGAACTCTCGCACGATCCGTATCAGCTCGTGAACTGATACCTCATCCCTTGCGAAAATCGTAGTATCGTCTGCGTACTGGGTCAACTTCAATTCCACTCCAGATACGGAAATGCCTCTAATTCTATTTGAAGCTCTAATTTTTAAGGCCAACATTTCCACAGCTAGCGCAAAAAGCATTCCAGAGAGGGGACATCCCTGCATGATGCCCCGCTTAGGCGAAAACCAGTCCGAGGTAAATCCATTGTTAATAATCGCAAGCTCAGATTGATTATATAGTAATCGTACCCATCTCGTAAAATTGGGCCCAAAATTGAATCGCTCGAGCGTATTGAACATGAAATCATGTTCAAGAGAATTGAACGCTGCCTTGAAATCAAGGGCACATAAAATTCCAGAACGTCTATCCACTGCTGTGTAGTCGATAACGTCTTGTATAATTCTCAGACTGTCGCGAATATTCCTGCCTTTAATAAAGCCATTTTGATCACGATTCACGATTCACCAGGACATGAATAACCCTTGCTAGTCGCACTGCAAGCACTTTGGCAATGATTTTATACACTACGTCCAGGAGACAAATTGGCCTTTTATTTTTTAACTGCTTTTGGTCTCCTTTTTTGGGAATCAGTGTAATTAATCCCCTGCGTTGCGTGACAAATAATAATCCCGTTTCAAATGAATGATTTATATAATCAGTCACCAGATCTCCTAACTCATCCCAAAAGCAATGGAAGAACTCTTTGGTAAATCCGGAAACTGATGGGGCTTTATTTCCTGACATTAAATTTAATGCATTCTTGCATTCTTCCTTTGTCATCATTCCCTCGCATGTTTCTCTATCTAGGTCTGACAGCTGAGGAATGCGGTCTGCAAACTCCAGGTTTCTGTTTGCTGTTTTACAGGAGGAGTGCAAATCTTCAAAGTAAGTTTTGCAGGCGTTCAGGATCCTCCTATCCCCCGTCACAGTTGAACCATGTTCATCATCTAACACGTATATTGCTCTCTCCGTCGCTTGCTTTTTGCACAGACGCAAAAAATATTTTGATGGTTTTTCTCCTTTCTCTATCCAATTTGCCTTTGAGAATTGCATAGCTTTTTTCCCCGCATCCTCTTTTATCGTTTCTAATTCAGATTTGACTTGTTGATATCTCTGTAACGTATCCTGCCCGCTTGAACCCAATTGTTGTTCCAGATTGGAAACTGTCTCCTCCAACTCCCTCTCCCTAGCTCGCCCGACCTTCGCAAGCTCTTTTCCTTGTTTAATACAAAGTGCCCTTATATTGCTCAACATTACTTCCAATAGCAATCCCGGGATATTGCAATCCGAATATCGCCCTACTCTATTCTTAGCCTTCCCTATCTCCTCCTTTATTGCCTCCTTTAAGCAGTCACTCTCCAATAAGCTATTATTTAGTTTCCAGAACCCAGGACCTCGTTTACCATTAGCTAACTTCATCTGTAATAGTACGACGCTGTGGTCACTCATGATCCCTGGATCTATTGAACATTTTTCAATTTGTTGCGAGCGGTATATTCCAGCACTTATTATGAAGTAATCAATTCTCGATTGCTGAAGCGGATTTAGTCGCCTCCACGTAAAGCCTGTATTTTTAGGGTTAAGTTGCCTCCATATATCAAGCAAATCAAATTCCTCCATAATCTCTTTTAAAACTTCTACCGGACGGTGTGTTCTTCTCTGATTTTTGTCAACATCCAACTCACTTAAATGCACATTTAAATCTCCGGCTATAATAAGGTTTGACAAGTCATCTTGGTTATCCAAAACATCCTTTACATTTGAGAAAAACTCAACCTGCGCTGGCGTTGAATGGGTAGGCGCATAAAGACCAACTAATTTAATAACAGTGTTGGCAAGCTTGATTTGTGCGAAAAGAATCCTCCCCTCCTCGAAGCGTGTGCCACAATCTACCCTTTCTAAAGGATTTGTACAGCGCCGGGGCGTGAGAATGCATACACCCCTGGAAATGTTGCTACCATGCGAGAATAGTACCTCGCTGCCCCATTCACTTCTCCAAGTTTGCTCGCAATCAGGGGTAGAATGTGTTTCCTGAAGCACAGCAAAATAATCTGGGTACCTAACATGAATATGTCTGAAAACTGAACGTCTTTTCTTTCTCTCTCGTAATCCCCTTACGTTCCAACATATTATTCCGAATGTAGACACTTAGAGCAAATGTGTGGGTAACTCAAGAGGCAGAGTAGAACGGAAAACACGTTTCCGTCGATGTCGACTCAACATGATAATGATACAGCACGGTTTACTGCTATTTAACGATGGAGCGTCAAGTAAACAAATATTGAACTTCCTGTCATACTGGCACACTAAACACAACCACACATACACTGTATGAAACTCAAACAAAACAACACATTCACACAAGAAAACACGTACACACATGACCTACACTGAAAATAAATTAACACTCGCGTGCCGGTGACACGAAAAAAAGCACCAATGAGAGGCGTTTTGGTAGGGTGTAACACAACTCAACTGTGTAACTGTGGGGTGTGACGCCGAAGAATGGTGCAATTACTCGGTGTTCAAAATCAACACCGACAATTAACACCAATGCCACCTAAGACCAACCGACGCTACGGATAAATAACACCACCATTTGGTGTCAACACCCCGTGACAGAGACGTTATATCGCATACGCCACACAATGGTGTAGCTCCCAGTTCATTGATCTCTAAACGGTGTTACTAGCACCGTTACCATGGATCGGATATGGCCTTGGATTCAAGGTCAGCCGGCCGCCGGCCAGCGCGAGCGGCTGCGCGTGCACATGCGTAAATTCAAATGAACGGCGGCGTGTTGATTCGCGCTTCAGTTTGAGTCGAGTGATGCGGGGCTGTGTGGGGACTGGAGGTGGTGTGAGAATCAGGGCTGCGGAGTCGGAGTCGGAGTCGGAGTCGGAGTCGGAGTCGGTCGGAGTCGACAGTTGTGACCGGAGTCGGAGTCGGAGTCTGAGTCGCTTTTAGAAACCCGATCCGGAGTCGGAGTCGGAGTCACCGAAAATCTGTCGACTCCGCAGCCCTGCTAGGTCTGCGGAGTCGGAGTCGGGAGTTGGGAGTCAGTCGGAGTCGACAATTCTGCCCGGAGTCGGAGTCGGAGTCGGAGCTGGTTTTTGAAAGCCGGAGTCGGAGTTGGAGTCGGAGTCGCCGAAAATCCATCGACTCCGCAGCCCTGTGTGAGATAAATAAGTGATAAATAAGTGTGATAAATAAGTGTGATAAATAAGTGTGATAAATAAGTGTGAGATAAATGTCTGGTCTGGTATGTTGTCAGCAGAGTCCGGTGACCACCCTTGCACTTGAGAAAGCGCCACTCACAGTTGCCGCAATTTTTGTTAATAACATTTGTTTATTGCTCGTCTCGGACGTTACAAAATAAATTGTCTTTATTTAAGGAATGCTTTGCTTTGTATGGGGTCTAGGCAAGCCACAGTATACCCATACCTATGGACTTGTCACATATGTTCACACAGACCCATGCACACGTATATATATATATATATATATATATATATATATATATATATATATATATATATATATATATATATATATATATATATATATATATATATATGTTACGGGCAAAGTGCGAAGTTGGGCAATTCGCGAATTGCCTAGGCCATTCGCGAACTGCCGGCAATTCGCGAATGGCCTAGGCATTTTGCACATTGCCGGCAATTCGCGAATGGCCTAGGCAATTCGCGAATTGCCTGGTGGTGATAGAACATTTTTGAAACGAAAATTCGTAATAGCGCTGCTGAAATGAACATTTCTTCACGTCTACGGTGCCGGTTTTGGTGCCGGTAATAGCTTTGGAGAAAAAGTTGCATCTCTACAAGTGGCACCACCTGACCCGACCTCGGTCGGATTTGTCGGCTGGCCGCTCACTCTGTTTTGTGCTGGATCGCAGGAGGGTCGCTGGTCGCTGTGTGCAGAGGTCAGGTAAGTGGTCCAACGACTGTCTGTGTGGATGTGTTCGTGCAGGGTTGTTTAACCCTCTGCCTGTAGGGGTTACTCATATTACTCATTTATATTGTAGGTTATTTTTAAATGAAGTTACTCCTTTATATTGTAATTGTGTTCATACTTATACCAGTAAGACGTCATGGATGGCGAGGAACGAGCGAGGTGAATTTAACATGCAAACCATATGGCAAAATTTATATTCCCCACGTGCGCATTAGTGGTGAGGCACCTCTTTCGTGACAATTGGAAGTCACTGAGACGGTGGGTTTCTAACCACATACCAAATTTGAGCCCGATCGGTCAAGCCGTTACCGAGTTACAGACGCCAAAAGCGTAGGAACCATGGGTGCAGTGGGTGCAGCTGCACCCACAATAATTTGGCAGTGGGTGCAGGCAATGTATTCTGCACCCACAATAATCTGGAACAAAAGCCCCTTTTCGCGTCAACACTAACTCCCAATAATCCCATGAGTACCACGAAACTACATAGGATATTTTGCCCTCTGCAAGATGGTCTTCAAAGCTTACACATATATCCGCTCAGGTGGAAGAAGCCATAGCACATGTGATATAACACATACCTTATGATGACCCACTCCAGATGGTTTTAGCCCGTTATTTTAACCAACGCCCCGTTGGAGGTCCAGGATTTCCACACTCGGCAGCAGCTGGGATATTTCGTCACCCGCCACTTGCTGGGGGGGGGGGGGGGGTAAACGTCCCCAGTCGACAACTCGAGAACCAATAGCCGCAGCGACAAGGGCGAGGCGGCAAACGAAAACTCGTGACAAGACGCTTCCGTTGATGTGAACTTTGACCTCTAGCGCCTAAACGGTTGACCTGAGGTCAAATCTGACGACTTACTTCAGATAGCCCAATTCATTGCGCATCTTACCTTTTTTGCAGATCAAAGCTATCTGTCTTAGTTTGGGCGCGAGACCGGCTAAAGCAAAGCGCTGCACGTTTGACCAAAAAGTGCGAAAATTTTGCATTGATGACGTCATTTGACCTTGAAGATGTTGACCTAGGATCACCAAATTTGCACCACAAAGAGTTCTTATGCGGGCCTACCCACCCCCCAAGTTTCGTGTTTCTAGCATTTCTGGGAGCCGAGATAGCAGGGGGGCAGAATATGCCCCCCCTCGAGGGCGCGTAATTCTCAGACCCTCTCCAGGGGACGTGTTAATGACCTCTGGTGACCTGACCTCTGACCTGAACAAAAAAGTGACCGAAGTGATTTCTTCCTTATTTTTGACGCTCTTCGAACGCCGCCTTTCCGGTATCGCTACGTGGCCCAGGAGCCGAGTTAGAAGGGGGGGGGGGTGTTCAAACACTCCCCCAGCAGGGCGTGGAAATCCAGGACCCCCAGCGGGGCGCGGGTTAAAGATCGTGTTGCATATCAGCCGATCTGTATATCGTCTAGCCGAACAAAACTAAGGTGTTTTAAACTTTACTCTATCATGCCTCTCCCAAAAGTTATTTACGAAAAAGTTAGATACAATTCCCCACCAAAGATGACCTCAGCTGCTAAAAGAGGTGTCACACGTGCCATTTTTCGGTTCTGTTGTGTGTCGTGCTAACTTAGGTATAATTTGGTGTTTGAAATTATTGAGAATGACGTTCGTTCAAAAGAGACACCTTTTAATTTTCTTCCATTGACCTACAAGAGAGGATGCAAAATTGACCTGTCCTTAGGTCATCTGGTCACCGATTTTTGCCGCTTTTTTTGTAAAAAAAAGCGGCGTGAAGCTCACCGTTTTCGTTTGTTTGTTTGTTTCTTATTGATATTCAGGGGAAAATAGGGTGCGGGTTAAAAATGGTAAAGTCGGTATATCACATCCAATTGCCGCTTCCTACCCCCCCCCCCCGCTCAACCAGCTATGGCTAGACTCCTGCAATCTGCACCTATGCGCCCACAATGTTCTAGCCGTTTCTACGCCCATGACAGACGCTGCAGTTATTGAAAATCGAAGGTGGAGTGCGCACGTGCGCGCGCGCGGCACAATCTCCCTTCTCACTCTTGTGGAGGGTTAGGCCTATGAGTACCTAGTAGCATGCCAAATTTCAACACTATCGGCGCAGACGTTCCAAGGCTGTAGCATTGTATTTTTTTCGACACCCCTCACTCTGCACGTGCCACGTGCTAAATTTGGTACCCACATGGTTCGGGGTATGCTCCATTCGTGGCAAAGGGATGTAGCTCCCCATCAATGAAAGCCACTTGTCAATCAGACATGTGGTTGCAAAGTTATAAGCTGTCAATTAGCGTCGTTTGGCCGGGTCGGGCTGCTAATACTTACATTTTTCCACTAAACCACAAAGGACTCGCTCGCACTTCGCGCTCGCTCGTAATTATCATTCTTTGTATATTATATAATATTTATCAATATTTTTTAAATTCATAAAGTCAATTTGTTATTGTAATCTTGCATACATCTCTATCTTTCGCAGGTAGACCGTTCGTCGTTTCTGCAAAGATGTCTCAAAAAGAACAGTTCTATAAACTGGTTCACGAAACCAAAATATCTTCAAACTCTGCTTTGATTACCGATGAAAAGTACGAGATTATAAAGGAAGAACTGCAGGGAATCAGCAAAGGCGCAAAACCGTCGGGCACCGCGAAACGTTCGCAGTGTTCGCAGTGTGTCGGCGAGTCACAGTATATAATTGGCACGACGAAGGGGAAGCTGTCCGGCGTCTACGGCCCAGAAGCAGTACAACCGTGTGCCGGGCACTTCATCTCCTCCTCCGACGTCCCCGACATCTCGATCACACTTAGAGAATGTGCTCGCCTGGTCTCAGGGGGGAAGGGTCAGGGGATGTTTTCCTGCAAGTGCAGGAGGGGTGTATGTAAAGGCCGATGCAAGTGCATCAAGGCGGGCGTTACTTGTATCAGTCGCTGCCATAAAGGCGCTCACTGCAATAATAAATAGTAAGAAAGTCAGACTGTTGTTTGTGATTTGGCATGGTTTTGTTTTTGACGGAAATTATCGAATAGTTTAAAGACCACGTGCTACGGAACTTGATAACTGCGTACACAACCTCTCTTAACCTAAACACTTTCGCGTTATACAGATACCTCATATGATTAAACTTTTGATCCAATAAAATTCAAATGAGTCATAAAAATGTATCTTCGATCGCATTTATTTGCCACCCCGCGCGCCCCACAAAGGACAATCATTTTCGCACGTCTGCACACCTATTTAAATTAGGATACAAGAGGGACGATGGTAAGTACTACACACCAGCCCCCTCCCACTATAAATGGCAACGAGTTCGGAAGGAGAACCTTAGTACTATCAGATTTATTTGAAAATTCCCTAAAATTACAGAACAGCAAGTTTCTGGCCGCCTCAGATAGACTTAGCCATAAGCAAATGTCCTAATGTTAATGAATATACTCATTTTAGCACGGTAGAAAACTTTTGTGATATAGTTACTCACTTTGCCTGGGCAATTCGCGAAATGCCCAATTACGCACTTTGCCTGTGAGCACAAAGTCAGTCCATTCGCGAATTGCCTAGGCCAAGTGAAAAACCGGACTTTGCCTAGGCCATTCGCGAATTGCCGGCAGTTCGCGAATGGCCTAGGCAATTCGCGAATTGCCCAACTTCGCACTTTGCCCGTAACATATATATATATATATATATATATATATATATATATATATATATATATATATATATATATATATATATATATATATATATATATATATATATATATATATATATATATATATATATATTAATTCATCGAGCTGCAGCTACACCAAACACCGGTGTATCTCCTTCACAACACCGGAAGAGGGTGTACCCAATTGGCTACTAACACCACACATTGGTGTAAGGGTATTTGTTTTGTACCCGTAAAGAAGGTGCAAATTAATGGTGTAGCACTTTTTTATGGTGTAAAGACGTCGTGTAGCACCACAAACTGGTGTACTTACAGTGATTTAACGCCATACGCCAGTGTATGTGCCTGGTGTTACACCAGGATTCAGTGTATGCTTACACCAAAGCTTGGTGTTGAAACTACACCGGTGCAGGTGCTCAAAAACGGTGGGGTGTAAACTTTTCCTAAAAAGGTGTAAACACCAGGAGCGGGTGTGAATTTATTTTCAGTGTAGACATAGCCATGGGCACACGGCACCATAATGTTAAAGACCACATTTGTCTCAAACAATGAATCAGCCGTTTGAATGAATCAATGAGACACTTACTCACCCACCGTGAGTTCTGATCGGCAAATCATACCTACACCGACAAGAGCCGACAAAGAAAACATCCCCCTCCCTCCCGCCAAGTAAAGCAAAATCAAATAAAGGATCTGCCACGACACGGCCAATCTCACCATCCGTAGGCTTTCCGCCGCGGCGACACGCGCAGCCCGCCGGGAAGCCGGCGCGCACCCTGACGCCTCGGAACCAGAGGACATCAGCGCACCGCGCTCAGCGGGCCGGCGAACGACGAACCGCAGCCGTCTCCACGGAGCCGACGGCGCCGACAGGATCCACCAGCGCATCATGACGCTCGTCCGTCACCAATACACCCGCCGAAGTTAACGAACCACCAACCGCGGCCGCGCCGGCAGCCGCCACAGAACCGGCGGCCGCGGCGGCGACCGGCACGCCACCGGCCGCCGCGCGCCGGTCAGCGCCGGCCACGGCAGGCGGGCCGGACAGCGCCGGGCCAGGAGGAGCACGCCTGACCCGCCACCGGGTCCAGCTTCCTCCGCAGCTCCGCGATCTGCTCAGGCGACGTGACCCGAACAGGACTGGACAGCTGCTGCAGCTTGTAGAAAGGCAGACCGTTTCTAGTGAAGACAGTCCACAGCCGCTTTTCCTTCTTCATGGCCAACAGCTCGCTGAACAGCTCCCTTTTGGCGCGGGTGAGCGACTCGTTGAAAAACAACCGGTGTTCAGCAGGGGTAGAAGAGGAGCTAAGTTTAACCCGCGCCCTGCTGGGGGGGGGTGTTTGAACACCCCCCCTTGTGGTTTTTCGCGAATATCTCAAAAACGGCGGCGCGGAGCGCCGCCGTTTTTGGTACACCTTATCATACATCAATTCTACACATGTTGTGAAAATTTCAGACCAAGGTCATTCAAGGTCAGGTCACCAGGTCACTTGAAGTGACCTCACCTCATAAAAAGTTTCAATGTCTGTCATAGCTACACCGAGTGACCGATCGCTTTGAAACTTTCAGCGATTGCTAAGAGCAATAGCATGTACAAAATGTATATCTCAGAATTTTGATATCGATGACCTAAGGTCAGGTCAATTTTGCGACCTCCCCATTATAAGTCAATGGGAGAAAATTGAAATGCGCCTCTTTTGGACGAAAGACATTATAAACACTCCCAAACACCGAATTACAAGTGGTTTAGACACACTGAACATGAAAATGGTGTCCGTGACCCCTGTTTATGCCCTGAGGTCATCTTAGGTCACGAATGGTATCTAACAGTTTTTCTCAAATAACTTTTGATAGAGGCATGCTAGAGCGATGAAAACGCCTTAGATTTGTTCAGCTCGACGATACGGATCGACTGATATGCAACATGAATGTGGTAGATTGTCACACAGCCTCTTGGCTGGCGTGCCTGGGTGCGCCACTGGCCGCCCTATCCGTCGTCCCTGAGAGCGGGCTTGCGCTCGCTTGACCTATAGCCGGGGGCGCTCAGCTGTGCGGTGTGGGTTGAGTCTGGTCAGCTGATCGAATGGGAATACAGTTCTGACCGGTGATCGGAGGAGTGTGGTGCTGTGGTGCCGAGCTTAGTTCACGCTATAACATTGGCGACGAGGTATTTGAACAGAAGAAATTGAAATGCCGGTGGGCAGAGTAGAGCCATTTAATGTGGAGGAAGAGAACTGGGAAGAATATGTCGAACGTATGGAAGAGTATTTTGTGGCAAATGACATCACAGATGAGGCCAAGAAACGTTCGACTCTGCTCTGCAACATCGGATCCAAGGCATACGGTATCGTACGATCGCTACTATCCCCTGTTAAACCGGCGAGTGCAACGTATCAGCTGATTGTGGAGAAACTAACGACCCATTATCACCCCAAGCCGTCGGTAACGGTCGCACGGTTTCGATTTTTTTCATGCTACCGTCTACCAGGAGAATCGATACAAACGTATATCGCTCGTCTCAGACAGTTCGCTGGCGATTGTCAGTTCGGTACATTTCTAGAAGAGATGATTCGCGACCGACTCGTATGTGGTGTGAAGTCTGACCTGATCCAGTCCAGGCTGTTGTCAGAACCCGAGTTGTCTCTGAAGAAAGCGACAGAGATGGCGGTAGCCATGGAGACAGCCGGTCGGAATCTGCAGGAGCTGTCGGGAGCGGAGGCGGCCGATCCGCCTCGACAAGAGGTGCAGCAGATTCGGTCACAGCAGCGGAGCCGGCCGACCGCAGCGGGGCCAGCGACACAACAGCGAGCTCCAAGGGGCCCAGCTCAGCAGGCTGGCATGACACATCACACAAGTAAGGCCTTGGAGGGCGGGAAAGATAAGTGCTGGAGGTGTTTGAGTAACCGGCATGCAGAAGAGGACTGTTATTTTCGCCGAAAGAAATGCTTTCAATGTTTTCGTTATGGACACACCAGTGCAGCCCACCGAGCTGGCACGGTGAACAGTGTGGGGATGTTACCCGAGTCTGAGTCACAGGAGGGTGCCGAGGGTGGACTGGAGATGGAAGTAGAGACTGGTGAGGTTGACGCTCTGGTTAGCGATCTGTTCACATGTGCAGAGGAGCGGCCGAGTCTGGTGAAGCCTCCAATCAAGGTCGACGTCAGCATCAACGGTCAGTCGGTGCAGATGGAGCTGGACACCGGCGCCGCCGTCTCCGTCTGCACGTACCGCCGCTTCAAGGAGCTCTGGCCGGACGGAGACAGGTTGCTGCAGCCGAGCAGCCGTCTGCTTCGCACGTTCTCCGGTGAGAAGCTCTCAGTCCGAGGTGAGGCGTGGGTGAACGTGCTGTATCAGGGTGTCAGTCATCGATTGCCATTGACTGTGGTGGAGAGTAACGGTCCGATGTTACTAGGCCGTAACTGGTTGGGAGAGATCAAGTTGGACTGGCACAATATTTTTGCGATGACTCTGAGTCCAGCCATGGGAACACTGCTCGAAAAATACTCCGAGCTATTCAAGGACGATCTGGGCTGTGCGAGGGATGTAGAGCTCAACATTCCAGTGGATCCAGCCGTGAAGCCCATCTTCTACAAGCCTCGGACGGTGCCACTCGCCTACCGGGAGAAGGTGGACGCCGAGTTGGAGCGGCAGATCAAGGAAGGTTTGTTGGTGCCGGTCAAGTGGAACGACTGGGCGACGCCCATCGTGACCTGCCAGAAGGCCTCAGGTGAGATCAGAATCGCAGCAGACTATCGTCTCACAGTAAACAAGGTCACGCCGTTAGAAAAGTATCCTCTGCCAAAAGTAGACGAGATGTTCAGTAAACTGCAAGGTGCGACAGTGTACAGTCAGATAGATTTGAAAAATGCGTACAACCATCTGCCATTAGAGGAGAAGAGTCGCAAATATTTGGCCATAAACACACACAAGGGCTTGTTGGTGCCAACCAGACTGGGATACGGGTACGCGAGTGCTCCGGCCATCTTTCAACGTTATATGGAAACTCTCTTGGCTGGAATACCAGGGGTGGGAGTGTTCCTGGATGATGTCATGATCGCTGGAAAAACCCCACAGGACCACCAGAACTCGCTGGAGGTGGTGCTACAGCGGCTGGTGGCGGCCAACCTGCGCCTGCAAAAGAAGAAGTGCAAGTTTGGAGTGTCATCTATCACCTACCTGGGACACCGCATCAGCGCGGACGGCGTGAGTCCGACCGACGACAAGGTCAGTGCTATCAAAAACGCACCCGCTCCGAAAAACTTGAAGGAGCTTCAGGCCTGGCTAGGGTTGATCAATTATTATGCC